CCACCACGTAAACGAAGTACCAAATGAAGAGTACTTTCTTTTTGAATGTTATAATCACTAAGTGTACGACCATCTTCAAGTTGTTTGCCAGCAAAAATTAATCGTTGTTGATCTGGTGGAATACCTTCTTTATCTTGAATCTTAGCTTTAACATTTTCGATAGTATCACTTGGTTCAACTTCAAGTGTAATAGTTTTGCCAGTCAACGTTTTGACGAAAATTTGCATGATTGTTGTTTCTTACGATTTAATATGAATTAAATAAAGTGAATAAATAAGAAATTATTTGGCGCAATGAAAATGAAATAGACTGTAAAAAACGTGTCCTTTTATACTGCTTTATGACGATGAGTCACGAGACAAACACACTAGAACTTTCTCCGTCCACGTCCACGTCACAAGCTTATTAACAATGTCGTACAACTGACGACGATGACTGTTAAAAGAATGACAAAGAGAAAAAAACAAAGATATGACCTGAAAAGGAAAAGTTTTCTTGATTGTTTGGTCACTTAAGAATATTCTGGATTGTAGAGGTCCATAATAATAATATGGATAAATTTCGAAATTAGCTAACTAGTCATCAGCAAAGAGGTACAATATTCATATTAATTTGCCGAATTTCATCCAATCCGATATTTGTTCGCTGTTGTACATATATCTCTTGATCACGTATGAGATCAATATATAACAGATTCTTTCTCAGTTCTTTTCCGGAAAAAGAATATGGAAGAGAAAAAAAGAAGTTATCGCGTATCTACTAGATGTTTCTCGACGGTCAGAACAGCAATATATACTTTAATCAGCATTGACCGACGAGACGCTAAACAAAGAGTATCCTGTCGTACTCTATTCTTTTTACATCGTTGATTTTTTCCTTATTTATTTGACACCAATATACATATTATTGATTATTTTATTTTATTTTTGTTGAACTCTTTTAGATCATTGGTAAAAAAAGCAAATGCTGCTCGTTCATATTTTTTATCTTTTTCTTGTCAAATCAATACTTGTTCACAGTGAATCGTTTACATCAACAACACATTTAACTAATCTATTCAACACTGAAGTTGAATTGTTTAATCAATTAGACTCATATCTTAAAGACGAATATGAACGATTAGATCGTATAGAAAAGTATTTGCATTTATTTTTGATTAAACTAAATTAATATATGTATTTTCTTTGTTGAAACATAAAAGATATGTTAACGTTATCAAAGAAGAAATTCGTCAAGCACAAAACAAAGAAGAAATTTATTTTGGTAATCCTGTTAATGCATATTTATTTATCAAACATTTAACAGTTGATTGGTATGGTATCGAGGAAATCGTATACCATGGTAAACGTGTTTTATTTTATTAATGATCATTTTCAATCAAAAAAAAAGAGTTTATTCTTTTCAGGTATATCGAAAACAATGGGTGATAATTATTTATTTCCTTCATATGAAGATTATACAGGTAAATAAATTTCATTTGTTATTCGTTCTTATTTTATATAAATTATGAATAGGATCAGCTGTTGCTTTAATGCGTTTACAAGATACTTATAAATTAAACACAAGTGAAGTAGCAAATGGAGAAATAAGTACAAATTATAAATCACGAAAATTAACTGGTTAGTAAAAATAACGAATATTGTGAAGCACGATCTCACATAAATGTCAAGACATAGAGATGAGAAGTCGGACACCCACAGACTATGACACATGTTCGAGGATTAAAGAGGAAGTATTTCTAGGTGTCTCTTTGGTTTTGAGCCGGAACTTTTTAGTGGCTTTCGGCTGTAGGACTTAATATTTACAGCAAGATTATATTTTCGAGTTTCGACCTAAAACTTGGCCCACACAAACATGTCGATTAAACTAATTTGCATATAAATGTTCGGAACTTTGCGACTTAGTTTCTTTGAGATGCTCAATTTGTAAGGTATGGGTGCTTCTTTTTTATAGAAAATATATACAGCATGTTTTTTTTCGGAAAACTTCTGACGTCAAAGAGACTTGATTCAAAAATTCTGAAAAGTTTTATTCAAGATAATCTAATCAACATGTTTATATAGACTGCGTTTCAGATCGAAATTTGAAAATATAAACTTGGCGTCAATGTTGGGTCCTACAACTGGAACTCAATAAAAACATTTGTTCTTTTCCGAGACAAGATATGAACATAGACTCTTTTTATAATAAACATAGTTCAGTATGATCTGCCAGATGAACTAACGAGGGAAGCTGTTCAGTTGACTTCTTCCAGTTTCTCTGATATCCTTGCCTACAGATATTACTTTGCGTTCTAATAAAAACTCTAAAAGAATTTCGGTTTCCATTGAAATTTGACTAAGCTATAGAATTTTTGAATATGTTTATTTTATAGAAAACTCAGATTTTCTGGAAACTCGTATTTTTGAATCTCGATCTAAAACTTTGTACATACAAAGAACCCAACTAGGCTAGCTGAGTTCTCTGTATGTAAAAAGTGTCAAATGACAATTTTAAAGTACAAATTTTGCGAAAACCTTGGGCCTTGAAAAAATATACATTTTAAAAATTCGATAGTCTAGGCAAATTTCACTAGAAACTCAAACTTTCAAGATTTTTATTAATACGCTATGTAGTATCTGTAGGTAAAAGCTCATTAGAAATAGAAAGAGATAGTTGAATAAGTTTCTCGTAAGTAAATGAATAGTGAAGCAATGTGTCCCAAAATAGATAGAATATAATAATATATTTGTGATTAACAAGAGCAGCTAGATCGTGTTTCACATTTTCGTTTTGTATAGATAGCGCTAACATTTTTTTTTAATTTTTCCATTTATTTCTAATAGCTTTGGAATGTTATGATTTGGGACGTATTGCATATACAAATGGAGATTATTATCATACATTAATGTGGATGCAAGAAGCTCTCGATCATTTAGATAAAGAAACGAATAACACATCACTTAGTAAAGTTGACATTCTTGATCATCTTGCTTTTGCAACATCTAAAGTAAAAAAGAAAGATATTTTAAACAAAGTTCTTATTTGAATTAATTTTCTTTTAGCAAGGAAACCATGAACACGCTTTGGCAGTGACAGAAGAAATTCTTAGAATTGGTAATAAAATCGACTATTAACATTTTTTTTTTCTACTGGAACTTTTTTCTTCTGCTTTTTGTATAGCTCCTGATCACATTCGAGCAAGAAATAATAAAGCTTATTATGAAGATCTTCTTCGAAATAAAACATTAAGTGGTGATTTAGATTCATCAGATCTTAAATCAATACTAACAGTTAAAAAGTTGGACAATGTTCAAATTAAGAATCAACGACCAAGAGATTATTTAGAAGAACGTGAAATTTATGAACAACTTTGTCGACAAAATGGATCGAAAGTAAAATATGGCTTCAACATAAAACAAAAAAAAATTATTCTATATTTTAGATGAATGCAAAACGTGAAGCAAAATTATTTTGTCGTTATCGTCATAATAATCATCCATATCTTATTTTACGACCTGCTAGAGAAGAGCAATTATTAGATGAACCAGTTGTTTATCTTTTTCATAATATTATTAGTGATAATGATATTCAAGTAATTAAAGACCTTGCTCTACCACGTGTAAGTATTACTGAATCAATGATAGAAACATACAGAAAAAAATTAAAGAAAATAGATATAAGAAATATTTCATCAAGTTTAAATAAGTTTTCACTTTACAGTTGCAACGTGCTGTCGTACGAAATGCTGAGAGCCATACTTTTACACCAGCTAATTACAGAATTAGTAAGAGGTATTGAAATATATTTTTTCTCGTCATTAATATTCATAGTTATTTGCTGTTGTATATTTTATAACACTAATTTGCATTTTGTGTTTGATTTTTTTTATTCGTTGAATCTATTTATGACGAAAAAATGTGACTTCTGATGTAAAAAGTAATACTAACTTGATGAGATCAGAGAATTTCAGAATAGGGTACTTTGAAATAAAAAAAAACATTTTCTGAAGTAGTTTTTTAATTGATGACAATAAAATAAACATTTTCCTACTATAAAATCCTAAGAAAGAGTGATCAAATTTTAATTAATAGCGGAAATCTTTTCAAAATTTAGATGTATATAAGACATTGTTAGCATAAGACATCAAGATCATACGTATACTAACTGTAGTTATTTCATGGTGATCGATATAGATATGATAGAATTAGTGTTCTGCAACCGAATCGATTCAAGCTCCGATTCGAAACTCATACGCAAAGTTGATAGTTTATATAAAAACACGAGAGTAAAAAGCCGGTTCGATCATGATTCAGTAATTTATTGTACATGACAAAGTTCATAGAAGTAGAAAGGCGATATTGTTTTATTGAAAGAATTCGATTTTGATGGAAATTTATCTATAGATAATGATGAATCATATGACGAAGTAAATGAGTTATCAAAAAATGTAAACATGTATTATATTGATGGAAAAAGCTACATATATGTGTCCATAATTATGAAGTTTGACACCAATATTTTAATATTTTTTTGCGTTATCAACAACAAGCAATCATATGCTTAGCAAATTTTATCGGATTTTAGACACAGAAAGACACCAAGTGAATTCTGAATCACTTGCTTTTTTGTAGAATTTGAGATGATCTCTTTCTCTTTGTTTTGGTTCATGGAAGAAACTAAATAGTATAGTTTTTTCATGTAAAATGAAATCTTGAAAATCGTACTGTGACCGTGAAAGTGTCTACCAGATGTCGATTAGTTCCGATCGGATACCATTTACAACTATATCCAGGTCCGGTTATGAAAAACTTGACCTGTGAAGAAAATTAGATAGCATGATATGGTATTGATGAGTCATAAAATTAACAATGGTCAAACCGTCTTTATTTTCATGACTTGTCTATTTGGTTTATATTTCCAGATATTTTTGGTCAATAAAATCGAGTTTCTCATTGTCTGATAGAGTTGAGAGCTTTATGAATTAACAATTGTTTTTAGTGTTTTCTGACGTTCTTCTTTTCTTTTATAGTCTCTAAATTATAAAGCTTCTTGCTTCTCGCTTATTATACATGTATAGATGTTCCACGAAATGATGACCTGTGACACACGTAACGTTAGACAATATGAAAATATGCTAATGGCTTGGTAGAGATAAAAACTTCGTCAAAGTTGTAATCAATAAAAAATTTTTGAAAAACTTACGTAGGCAACTTCAAGGAACTATCTCGCAACATATAATCTAATATTCTTGTCGCTACTTGATAGGATCTTAATTTTTACACTTCATTCAAAATATGGTTCATACATAACTTTTCTCAATTAAAAAAAAGATTAAAAAGAAAAAAAAAGTCTCCTAATTGGCTCACGAAAAAGCTCTCAAGTGTCAAATTGCTTTTCAACCGAGATGCTATTTATATGATAAGTACTAGGAAGTAATAGTAAAGTCTAGAATGGTTTGATTTTTTGAGGCTTATATTCTCGAAATGAATTTTTCAACAAAAAACTGTGATTGCTTGCATAATATTAAGAATTTGGATGATGTACAATACAGCACGAAATATATTTCATTATTTCAGTGTCTGATATATATTTATTCTAATATTTATCTCTCGTTATGATTATAGCTGAGACGAGCGGTTATACAAAACCCTAAAACGGCACAACTTGAGCCAGCCGATTATAGAGTCAGCAAAAGGTAGAATAATTGATATATCCTTCTTTTTATTCAATTAATATCTATGCATGTTAATTAGCTTTTGTTGATGTTTTATGCCTATAGCTTTTTTCTTGTTTATAGAGATTGATTACATTTTAAAATTGTTTTTGTTTGTTGTCTATCTTTTCCTATATGTATATATATATTACCTGCATGTATTTATTAAAATTGTAGTTATAGATGCCTTTATGTAGTGTTAAAATAAATGTTTTTTTCTTTCTATTAAAATAATTTAAATTTTAGTGCTTGGTTACGAAATGACGAATCACCGGTAATAGCACGTTTATCTCGAGTAATTGAAGCTTTAACTAATTTGAGTATGGCAACTGCTGAAGACCTTCAAGTATGTATAGATCGACTGTCATAGAATTGAAAGCGAAAACAAAAAGTTGTATTTCTTAGATTGCAAACTATGGTGTTGGTGGTCATTATGAACCACATTTTGATTTTGCACGTGTAAGTTTATTATCTTGTTTAAGTATTTCAAAAATAGAATTATTGATATATTTTTTTAGAAAACCGAAAAAGATGCTTTTTCAAGTTTTGGAGCTGGTAAGCCGAACGTTTTGTATTAGAGTTCATAAATCAAAACTTTATTTTAAGGTAATCGAATCGCTACATGGTTGACATATGTAAGTCCAATCGAAAGTCATTAGAGTTTAATTTCAATGATTAATTTTTTCATAGTTAAGTGATGTTGAAAAAGGTGGTGCAACTGTCTTTATTCCTACTGGTGGTTATGTCAAACCAGAAAAAGGCAGTGCTGTATTTTGGTATAATTTGTTTGCATCTGGCGAAGGTATAATTATTAGCCTTTCTCTTTTTATTATTAATCTATTTTTGATATTTAGGTGATTATACAACAAGACATGCTGGTATGTATTTTATTTCATAGGTTTATGTTTCTACATTTTCTTTTTCAAGCTTGTCCGGTATTGATTGGTAATAAATGGGTTGGTAATAAATGGATACATGAACGTGGTCAAGAATTTCGTCGTCGATGTTCACTTGATCCAATGGCTTAAATATAGAAAATATATTATCTTGTTATAGAGAATTGTTTGATGAGTATCATTTTCTTTTTATCTTTTAAATCAGCAGACCTTTTTTTTTGACAGAAGGATTTTTTAAAATTCATTGTTGTGTATTTAAAGAGAAAAAAATATCGATAATATAAGCACAGTCCAACTGTCAAAGTAAAAAGTCAGTAGTTTTATTTATTTATATTTGTTTGTTTTTATTTTATCAATTTCATTCATATTAGTTGAGTATTATTAGTATTCAGTTTGCTTTTTGACAATATATATGTGTTTGTGTGTGTATTTGATCAAACTTTCTTCGTTAAATAAATTTGATAAAGAAATATTGTCTCTGTTGCAATTCAAAATTGAATTGAAACCTTAAATAGATTTGTTGCTTGCGCATTGTTGAACTTGCTTGTTTCAGTAACGGAAAATAAAGTCGTCATCATATTTCATGATGTGAAAGAAATTACGATTAAAAATAAAACTAAGTACGGTTCAGAAACCGCCACAGAGCACTTTTTTACGCCCTGTGCCCTGCTCTGCTCTGCCCTGCAGGACAAGGCAGGGCTACTTAATTGAGTTTTCTTATTACAAGATCTTAAAAATTGATAAAAATTATGTGGTTGCTTTCAACTTTGGTATTAAAATTTTACTCGTGTGGGTTCAAAAAAGTGTCAAAATAAAACCCAGTTGACAATGAAAAAAATCGTGTACTAGAGAACGACACCTATGTTAAAACTTCAAAGCAAATCTAATTTTAATGAACTTTTTCATGTTTGAAACTTGATTAAAGTGTTTCTATATTAATAAGAACGTTCAACTTTAACCGTTTTTAATCACGATGTGTGTGAAACGCATTTTCTGAATTTTTAATTTGAAAACTCTCGTTTCTTTGTTAATTCCTCATTCTCCTATACTGATAAGTGTAACACTGGACCAAACGTTGATACACGTCATACTTCGAAGTGCGATAGTGATTAGTGCTAATTGGTGTAAATCAAAATACTGACAAATTAAACTTGTCAACTCTTTTGTCTCACTTAGGGATGTTACTTTATTTTTTACTTTTCTTTATAATAAAGGATAAATATAAATAAAATCTTTATCTTTATAAAATTAAAATAAAAAAATTCTTTATATTTGAAAAATAAATGTAAATAAAAAGAAATAAATCTTTATTATTCAAAACTTACGATAGATAAAATCTTCATATTTATAAAATAAAGATAGAATAAATAATAAAGAAGCTTTTTCTTCTATGAGAACATCAGCTTTAGTTTTTACTGAGTAGTTCACAAAAAGTTATGATACTATAGATAGAAATGAAATATACAGAAAAATCTGTTGTATATATATTTTTTCATGTATCAGCTTGATTCTTAATTATATCACATATCGAAGTGATACTGATGATAAGAAAAAATATTTATTAACATATCCTGTTGTTATATTAGATACTTGTCGATTTACCTATTATAAAAATAAACCTTTCTTTATTCTTTATTTTATCTTTATTCTTGAAAGTAAACAATTCATCTATCTTTATTTTACAGATATAACGATTTTATTTAACTTTATCTTTTATTAACAATAAAGATTTACTTATCTATTTATATTTATTTTTCAAAAATAAAGAATTCATTTGTGTTTATTTTATGAATCCAATTATCGTATTTATATTTATTTTATAAGAAAAAGATAAAGCAACACCTCTAGTTCAATGGAATAAAAAGCCAATAGCCTTCTATTATCGAAATTCACATCGCTTTTCAAAAGATGGACTTGTATTGCAAGCTAGCTTTTTGTTAGCATTTACCTAAAAAAAATTGGTGGTTTTTGAAGAATTTTCCTGATATTTCCAGAGGAGCTTTTAGCGATCATGTATCAAAATATCAGAAATATTACTTGGAATAAACTTTTGCTAGAAAAAATTGCTTTAAATTACAAAAAATTGTTGTTTATTCAAAACCTAGGTTTTTAGATGCTAAACCTTGCAAATTCGCAGAATTACCGTAAAACATTTAGAAAAACCTATGCCCTGCTATTACGCCCTGTGAAATTTCTCTTATTGATGGCATTTTAATATAGGATGCTTTTCTATTCTTGGAGAGAAGTCTTTAAATTAAAATCGACTATTTTTAATTAAGCTGATTTAAGTCGGGTATTCAGATTGAAGGACAACTTTTGATTCGGTTTTCTTAGTAAAACTTTTTTTTTCATGTTCATAAACTTCTTGTCCTTCTGGAGCAAGAAAGTTATATGATATAGATACTTCTTGAGATATACAGAAGAAAACAAATTTGACTAAAGTTCTAGTCAATTTGAGCTGTAGATAAAATTTAATCAATTAAAAATTGCTTTTTAAAAATCAGTTTTACTCGACCAAAAGGAATTAAACATTAAATAATTTAACTGAAATTGGATTAAAAGAGTGTCAGTGTTATCGATTTTTAATCGAAAAAATCGATTAGAATTAGATTTGTCAAAAATTTTTTATCCGAGCACAGAGGAAAAAAATTTTGCCCTGCTCTGTGACGGTTTTTGGTATGGTTGAAGGAATAAAATTTTGCTTGAGCAATTATAATTGATTATTCCAGTTGTTCGATTATAAACAAAAGAATCTTGTTAACGTTATCAAAAGTATTAACGGAGCATAGCAAATTATAAATGATATAGGAATAATAAATTTAAACTAGGATACAACGTAAATGTAACGACAGAACATGGTGACCTTTATTTGCCGTTATAAATATTTACTAGAATGATCAGTTTTTTAGCATTTAACAGGCCATTGTTTATTTTACGATTTGTAAATGATTTGTATTTGTCGCATATGCATACAAAAAGAGTACAACGTAGAACAATAATGCGTATACTTGTTGAACAAATTAGAGATATTTATTTTCATTCGTCAAAAGATTTTGTAGGACGATACGCAATTACAAGTGAATGCTATTTTATAAGATCGTTCAGAAAAGTTTACAAATATTGATTTAAATGTAGTCTTGCAACATGTTTCTGATTATTGCCTTTGTTGACTCATTTTGTGTATACTTATCTTTTTTCTCATGAGGCTATGTCCCAGGATCTCTATCACGTTTATATTGACTATCTCTAAGTCTCATGAAACTTTTACGGTTTATAGATCATGACGACCTAATCTTATTCATAGTATTATTTTTTTGATTTCCAACAATAAATACATTCATTTGGAGGCTGATACATAGCATGGTTTTATATGAAAAATCGAGAAAATTAATTTTCTCGATTTTTCATATAAACCATGCTATGTTTCACCCTTGAAATATATTGGTTTACTACTGAAAATTAAAAAAGTGATATTATGAAAAAACAAATAAGATCATTATGGCCTATATATTCTGAAAGCTTCATGAGATTCGACAATAATCGATATAAACAATGGTAGACATTCTGTGGAATATCCCTCATGTCATTTTGTTTATGACTGTATAATTAGAATAAGTAATATATCGTTCGGAAGACGAGAAAAATCCCTATTGACTGATAAAAATAGTTGCCTCTAACATTTGCTTGTGAAAGGACAATATAATCGACATTTTGTAGTATTAATTTGGCAATGCATGATATCGGATCTTTTCCACTTTGTTTCTCGAGCGTGTATCCTTTTATAATTCATTTTATTGACTTCTTAGTGTACAGAGAATAATGATCAATTTAGGCTGTATTTTTTTTTCTATAAAACTTTTTTCTCATAGGATAGCTTAATAGAAAATCTATAAACTTGTTGTAACCACCACGATGCCTAAATCAAATTTGTTTCGGACATTTAGATATGAATACAAATAAAATTAGGCCGTTGAGACTTATTATAAAAGAACAAGACAATGATTGAACAGTATTAGACGGGGAACAATTAAATAAAACAACGAAATAAATACAAAAGAATGATTAGCAAACAAAGACCTAAGTAGAAATGGACTTCAGAAACTTAAGTACAATAGTTAACAGAAAATTTATTGAACGAATAAATGTTAATGATGAAGAAAAGAAGCACTTTATCTATCATTCAATATAGAAATTTAATGTTAATAAAAAATAATAGAAATCAAGCTTAAAGTATTTCACATTTAACATCTAGTGCAATTTGTTTTGTTATTGATAGTCGGAATAGTTCATATATAATATTATTTGCTCTAGTTGTCCGTTTATTTCAGCTATGAGAAAATATCAATTAAAAATAATAATGGTGTTAAGCAATGGCAAACAGGAATATCACTTCATTAGTGCTTGTCATCAATGTACCTACCATATTAATATTGGCAACAACAACTGACTCAATTAGAAAAAAAAACATTTTTACTATAGGTTATTTTGATAAAAATTTCTGTTTGTATTATTAGCATTTTGTCATCTACAGATGATGAAATAGGACCATTATTTGCAATAAAATGAGCTTATGTAGCTAAAGCTGTTAATAATAAAGTTAAATTATCGTAAGTTGGATCAGAAGGAAGTGTACTAAGTGTTTTCTTTTACCATATATGATTAATTGGTTGACACCATTCGTGTGATTATGTATTCAGAACAATACTGATGTGCTCACATCTGGTTATATTAGATCATTAATGATAAAAATCTTTTAATCATCTACTATGTATGCACACGAGACAATTATAATAGCTTCGAATTGTCTACGGTTTGATTAAATCTTTATTATATTTATATATATCAAAAGAAATTCAAGTATATATATATATCTGAAAATAAAGATCTGGATTGCTTTAATTTATTTTTGATCTTCATTGATAATCATTATATCTTATTATTGCAAAATTAAGCGATCTGTTAATGATTGATTCAATAGCTAAAAGTTTTATTATTCAAACAATGATTGCTTATTGCTTTCATATGGTTTTTCAATCAACTATAGATAAATTAGATTTAACAATAATGTTAGCTAATACTGTATCAGATATATCATGTATTTCAGTAACAAGTATAATGAAAAAAAATTGGTG